CTGCTGGCTATGCTAATATTGATATTCAGAGGGTTTTTATTTTATTTAAAAAAATTATTTAGTTTTCTTATGCCTGCGGCATTTCTCTTCATACAAGTATTTTTTTAATTTCCTTGTCCATATCGAAAACAGAATTTGAAGTTCATATCACATGCATTAAATTACCTACTTTATCATCTGTAAATTGACTCAGTGCTTAGTTTTTAGGTAAAGTTAAAATTTAAAGATAATAAATGGCTTGCTGGTTTATTAGCTTAGATTAGAAAGCAGTGAAAGTTTCTTCTTTACCCTGTAGAAAGGGCACATCTTGTTTAAACAGATATCTCATTCCATCCTCTTTATTGGATTTTCTTTTTGTATGTTTTGATGTTTTTGATAGTGTATATAGACTTTTTATGACAGTATACATAAAATTGTAATAGTCCCATACTGAGGTTGGAACGTATTAGTTATTAAACATTTAAAAAACAGCTTGTATTTTAAAGCATCTATATTTTCCTATTGTGAGAAGTTGGATGATTTTGTTTGTTTGTTTAGAAAGAAATATATTTTATACTTTTGAGAAATAGAACTTTCGAACTTCAAAGCTGTGTGAAATCTACCAGAGAATCTTTATTAGGAACTATCACATTTATTTTGACAAATATTTCATACTTAAACTGGAAAGGGAATTAGGGAAGATAATTTGTATTTTACTCAGAGGGGTGGATCTTTACAGCCATTCTCAGTTTAAATTTCTGTTAGAAGCAAGGGATGTGCTAGCACTTACTCTTTTTTTGGTAGCTCCTCACAGCTCTGTATATAAAGGTAAGTTTATGCTGTTTGTAAAGCTTTTAGCTGGGTGTAGAGAATAGTGGGGATTCAAGGAGAGTTATATTTTAGACAAGTTCAGAATGTGCTACATAAGAATAAGCATTTTAATTGTGCCAAGACCTTTGGTTTGAAAAATCGACAAGGAGTTATGATTGTCCAGCAACCTGTTAGTCTTGTACATCGGTGAGTGTAGAAGTTCATCCTAGGGCCTCTAGAGCACCTCTCTGAGGAGTTTTCTTTCTCTTATGATATGAGTAGTCACCAAAGTATGTAAGAACTATTACTGTTTGCTAGTCTCCTTAAAAGGGAATTCTTTATTGAGGGCTACAATAAATATGCTTATTCATTTTGGGCTGCTTTTAAGTTGTAGATTTAATATTTTAAACCTTAAGGTGGGTAATTTCTCAATTTTTCATTCTGTATACATCATGAGTTTTAACTAGGTTTTCTATTTTCCTTAAATTCTAGAAAGTGAAATTCTTATTGACGATGGACAATTTGGGATCCACAGTAAGTGAGACTAAGGTTTTTAAATGTTTGCTGATATGATTAAGATGTTACTTTACTTTTCATTGGAAATATAGGAAAATATAGGGCACAGGGAAGCAGTACATACAGCCATGTGCTACAATAACAATGTTTTTGTCAAAGACTGCACATATGACAGTGATCCCATAAGATTATGATGGAGCCGAAAAATTCCTCTCACCTAGTGATGTTGTAGCTGTCGTAACATCTATAGTGCAGTGCATTACCTTTTCTATGTTTATGGTTATGTACACAAAAACTTACCACTGTGTTATAATTGCCTACAATAACATGATATGCGGGGTTGTAGTGTAGGAACAATAGGCTGTACCATGTAGGTTTGTGTTAGTACACTGTCTGATGTTCCCACGACAAAGAAACCACCTAGTGATGCATTTCTCAATGTATCTCTGTTGTTAAGCAATGCATAACTGTAGTATGATTTGAAAATAGAGATTAGATCCAAGAAACAAATACATTCTGTTAAATATTTAGTTTCCAATATAATTCTTATGCTTTATTATTTTTATCCTTTTGATTTTAATTTGGTGATTTCAGGCATGTGATTTTATATAATTTTAAAGTATATTGTACATTTAACTATTAATATATCATCTCTTTTTAAAACCCTGTTGTGTTTGAAATTATATTAGCGATTCTAAACATCTAAAGTGTGAAACATTACTCTTAGGTAAAGTTTGTGCATTTTTATGCTTGTGTATGCATTTACAGTAAAATCTGGCAGACTAACCTGAATGTTCCAGTAATTCTGAGTCTTTAAAAATTCATTTACAATAAAGCAGAAAATGCTTTAACTTCTGAATATGTTGAATATGCTATGTATTTATATACTTTTTTGCTTTAGTAAATACTGTATATAGCCTGAGAACCCAAATTTTCTTCAGTGATTAGAATTTTTATGGTGTATCAGGGTTATCATGGTAAACTGCATTCTCATTTTAGATTCTGTATAGAAGTCAAAAAGTAGAAAGGGGGTTGGCAGATGTGTGCCTACTGACTCTGAATCAGAGATAAATTGCTGATAACCGGTGTTGTTCCCATGCTGTTAAGCACTGGAAATGACAAGGCCTGAATGTTTTGGTTGTGGTTTTATTATGTATGTATGTTTATGTGCATTAGAAATGCACATGCTCTGGCAGTCTTTGGTTAGGAATTTAACTTCTTATAGCACTTGTATTTGTTTTTGTCTAACTTGTGGACAAAGACTTACAGACAGGTGCAAAAAATAAATCCTCTTTTGCAACCCAGAGCTCATTGTTCAATATGAGTCTTGATACATATAAGAAGGAATATTATGAG